TGAATGTATAGATATATGCTGTGATGTATAGATATATGTGTGAATGTATGAATGGATGTAATTGTATGTATGAAATGTATAGATATATGGGTGATGTATATTATATATATATATATATATATATATATATATATATGTGTGTGTGTGTGTGTGTGTGTGTGTGTGTGAATGTATAGGTGAAGTGTGTGTACGTACTATGCTTCTAAATGGCTCGAGAAACCGAGGTACAACGTTTACATATTTTGAATTTGTATCACGTAAGAACCACCCTCGCAAGCGTGTGTAGTTCGTCAGTCTTACCTGGCGAACATCTAGGAAACGGCGCGGTCCAGCCGCTCTCGCACCCCAACACGTTCATCCCCGAGAGCGCGAAGCCCCGGTGGCAAGTGTAGTTGAGGTACACTGATCGCACAGTGTCTCCCGGCACAGGTTTGCACGCCGGGGGCCTGCACCCGCTGAGCACATACTCCCCGTTCTCGGGCTGATCTGGAAGCTTGCAGCCGCATTTGTCAGGACTTTCATCAGAACCATCCGCACAATGCTGTGTACCGTCACAGAACCCAGCCTTGTCTATGCACGCACCGTAATCGCATTTAAACGACTCCCTAGGGCATCTGTGTGATATTGAACATTAAAAAATTACCTAAGCAACTTATGACTAACTTTGTTTGGTAGGGGAAAAAGTCATTTATACGCACGGTATATTCCCGCAGGAGCTACTGCTTTCGTCTGTACCATCATCGCAATGCTTAATTCCGTCACAAAGGAGAAATCTATCAAAACATGCGCCGGAATTACACTGCAGTTGGTTAATTCTGAAAAAGGAGACCAGGACAATGTAAATATACGAATGTACAGGAAAAGGTCAATGACGACGTAAAATGTCCATTCTACTGTGTTCTGCTTTATTATTATTATTATTATTATTATTATTATTATTATTATTATTATTATTATTATTATTATTAATATTATTAATATCAATATTATTATTATTTTTAATGAAGTGAAGAGATTTATGAAGATTTTTGAGACATACTTCGTTATTGCATAACCGTTTATCCACGAGTTCTGTTACTCCTGGAGTAGTGTTCTCAATAAATCGAAACAGGTAATAATGCAAAAATATGATATCTAATTATTTTGTTATACTCGTACGAAGTGCACTGACTTACCCGCACCGTAGCCAAACCACGAGTTGCGATGACCCCAAACGACGCCCAATTGTTTTAAATTTGGAAAAGCTAGTGATGTCAATGTCTACTATTGGTGGCAGTGGCACATCTCGATCTTTTCAGCATAACTAGCGCAGAGAAAGGAAACCATCAGTAGTGACCCCGACTTTTTCAACTCGGTGGAATCGTATGTAAAAACAAGTGGCGATACAACAGCACACACTTTCTCGCGTTATTGGACACAGCTATGTAATATTGATATATATATTTCATTTTCCCCGCTATAAACACCTCAGCTATTATTTGAAAACGTCAAATTCAACCATGAAGCGAGCAACGTACTATTTCCAGCGTAGCTTGGTCAAAACTATGTGCATTCGCTTAGCAATTAATATCAGTCCTTGTCAAAAAAAGCTTATTTCCATCTGTAATCAAAGTTCAACTTGTTTATGAATTAGTCACAGTAAATCATACATATAATTCTAATTCTAATAATGTAATTAAATTATTAATATTCTACAATTTGCATTATTAAGTTACTTTATTTTTTTTACTTTCTCGCTCATACGAAGGAATTTCTTAAGAAGAGAAAGTATGTAATGCTACGCGAAAATGGCGAATTTTCAGTAGAAAATCTATTACAGTGTCCTGGTAACGAAAAATTGGATAAATTCATATGATAAATTTAGAAAAAGTCCTCTAACACGTGGTATAGCAGAAATAGTATTCAATTTTACTTTCTCGCACTTAAGAGAAAGTTATGTAACACTGCGCGAAAAAATGGTTAATTGTGGGCTGAAAAATTCCTATTACAGGGCCTTGGCAACAAAAAAGTGGATAAATTCAGCTGCTGAATGTAGAAAAAGCATTCTATAACACGTGGTTTTTTCAGAATCCATAATTTGTGGGTCCTTGATACCGAAAAATCGATTGTGGCAAAACGTCCGTTTGTGAACAACGCTAGTTTAGCTGATTTTCTCCAAAATAGATATTTCCCTGTCAATCTGGCTAATGTCGCGGCTCCTTGAATTTAAAACCGATATTTTAATTTTGGGAGGTACTTTACCTCAAGTCCCTGGAACATTTTCAATCTTTAAAAAATATGGTGCCATAGATTTTGATTACATTTCGTTGGATAGTAAGGAAATGGAGTAGGTTTCATGTTGGTTGAAAACTGTGACTTTTCGAAAGTAGAAAATATTCAAAATATTTTCGGCGTCTTCCCACAATTAAAATATTAAAGATGGAGATTTTTTCTCTTATTAAAATCTGTTCCTTAAAGGTAGATTTTGAAACAACGTCATGTACAATTTTTCAAATATTTGAGTGTTTTTCGCGCAATATTGCATGAAATATATGCAATTTTTAATTTTTATTTAAACAATTTTTTCTAATTATTTGCTCTATTGTTTTTAAGAAAGTTTTTTGCTAGATAGTCTGAAGGACGTGTAAGAAAAAATGGTGCAGGTCTCATGTTGGTGGAAAGACCTGATTTTTCGAGAATTGAAAAAAATCAAATTTTCTCAGCGCCTGATCTGATTCAATTTTTTCTCATGAAGCGTGCTTTTAGCTGAGTAAATAGCCAACAGCCAAAACAACCGCTAACAGTTCGAGCCGAAGGACGCCGCTTTCAGCACTTTCCTTATGGTACGTTAAGCGCATCGATAGTTTTCGTATTTCAGCGCGGGATTTGAGACAGCGCTTCGCTGGGTGAGTGAGCCCTAGACTTCCCGAGCGAGAGGGCCAGAAAATTCGGCGAACGATAAAATTTACACCTGGTGTAATAGAAAGGCCAGTGCTTTGCATAGTGCAAGTTAAATAATACGTCCACTATACGTCCACTGGGAAGAAAATAGTGTTTTATTAGTCATAATTCAACTTCTGCAAAAACATTTTATACGTTCATCTTCATCAGATGGTGTGTACGGTGCTATCTTTTGGTACAGGTAAGTCTGGACACATTATGTAATACTGTTATGGTCATCATTATGAGGCGGATTTTGATGACCTAAACATTGCCAAAAATGATAAAAAATGCTCTAAAAATGTCCCAAAAATAAAGAAAAGTTACGTAAAAAATTGGATCAAAACCACTTCAGATGAACAACTCAAGCTGTTGGATGTGCTATTGATGTAATCGAGGCTTCTTCCGTTTGTTCAAGTGAAATCAGGTTGCAAACTTTTGTTTGGACTGTTATTTAACACAAAATCTCTGCCTTTATTTATTGAAAAATCATCCGAACTGACAATGGCGCTGATAGGCGTCACAGGAACCTTAGAATAAGTAGAACTCACAACAGCTGACATTACAATATTTGAGGGAAGAAATCGAATAGTCTACTCAGGAATTTTATATAAACATTTGTTGCGTATCGTAAATGCTTTTTGAATCAAGTACCATTAAAATGATATTAAAACGATTAAATCAGCAAAAAATGCATTAAAAGGTAAAAAGGGTGAAAAGTAAAAAAATGACTTATTTGTCGAAATCGACGAAAAAAGCAAAAAAATACATAAAAATGGGTTATTTCGTTTTGGCACAACTTAAATGAATTTCTATGCTAAACAGCATTGTCTTAAAATGAAAAGAAAAAATTAAAAGAAAAAATGACATTTCATTTAAATCCGCCCCCTTCCGTCATCATAAACACGAAAGTGACAAACTTAGGCCAATCAATTTCATTCCAATGGCTTTGTACCCCAAAACGATTATATATTAAAAATAAACATTCAAGAAGCATTAGCTTTTCCGCAAAACGTTTCCAACTATAACATCCATGATTACTTAGTTTCTACGAAACTAAACTAAAAAGAAGTTAGAAATGTTTCTTCACTTACTTGCATACGTTTGTTAATGGTTGTCGAACATCCTGTCCGTACGCTCGTTGGATTACGCTCACTGAAAGGAAATGAAGAAAATGTTGTAAATTTGATAACACCAATAATAATAATAATAATAATAATAATAATAATAATAATAATAATAATAATAATAATAATAATACTTCTAGGAAGTACATGACTTCGATATTAGTGATGGAGCTCAAACCCTGAAAGATGCCGGCGGAAGCGTTCCTACTTAGCGAAACTGTCTTGGCGAACAGGTCGAAGGGGAGCAAAGAAATATTCCACAAAAGGACCTCAAAGAGGACACCAGAAGAAGGCCCCACGAAGAAAACTTCCGAAGAGGAAAGAAAAGCTTTACCCAGCAAAGAGGGTGTAAAGAAGGTATCAACCCACCTCATCTCCCGTGAAGCAAAAACAGTACCCGATGCCGGTAACCGGATGCTAGTTTGGACAAAGGCCCCTTGTTTAGTTAGGACAAGGGGCCCGATGTTAGCTGCAAAATAGGTAGGGAAGTTTGCCTAACAGTAGAATTAAAATATAACTACTAAAATATAACAGACCTATTTGCATATCTTCAGTGAAAAGTTTGGAGCTGTTTTTCAAAATATACCATTTAAGAGTTTCTAAAAATGCACGAAGGCCCTCAATTTTGAAATAATTATGTTTCTAGGGAGTTAAGTAGATATTTTTGCCCGAGGGCGACTACCAAACACGAGGGGTTGGAAGTCGCTTGAGAGGCAAACATCCACTAACGTCCGTGGTGCATGCAAAAATTAATGGTTTACAAGTTCGTTGCTAAATCAAACGAGATTTTGAAACGTTTTGTTCGGGCTACTGCGCATGATTCTGGATCTTTTGACGTGGACTTTGTTGATAAAGTTAAGGCGCAGCACAGCGGTCCCGAAACCCTTTGATAGCTCAGGGAGGATTTATGTAGGAGTTCTGGATTGACAGAAAAGAAGTTCTTGCACAACTACATTTAATAATCACTGCACTTAAGCACTTGATTATATGGCACAGATACAGAAACACAGTTCATAATAGCTGGATCTCAGTACTACTAAATTTCCTGATGCGAGTGTCGCTTCGCACAAATTAAATGATACTTTGCACGTGCTAACCGGGAACAGCCCGAGATTGCACAATAAACCGAATGTTCAAGTGGTCTAATGCAGATAATGTACACTACACAGACAGTACACTTGAAGTTGCACGAACGGCCTGAGGTTGGACAGTAAAACGTTTACGCAAGTTAATTACACACGGAAACCGACAACTTGGTCCACACGTGTGGCTCGCGTGCTGTTTGCTGTCGAACTGAATTGGCGGTTTAACGACGGCGGTTTAACGAGCATCGTCAGATAGCTAGCGCTCGTGCGCTCAGGGAGAGAGGATGGCAGTGGCCAATCACAATTAGCCATTTGAATTTCGCGATATAACGTTCTGGAGGGTTCCGTCCGTTGCGAACTGCTAACGGGCAGAGGGAGCGAGGCTCGCGCGTGTGTTTCTGGGAAAGCCGTGGGCTGCATCCAGTGGCGTGATCTTATTAACGCAACAGTCGTGCGTTGTGCCGGTTACAGATCAACTGTTCTGCCTTGCGTCATATGAAATAAAATTATGTTTCTTCTGCTTTGCTGTGTGTCCGAACACATTTTATAATTTTTATTGTGTCTAAAGTGAAATGACGCATTCTAATCGGCATTTGTCAATATGACGTCAGATAAACAAAACAGTGTGTATCTAATTAGCGTAGCCAAGGTGAACGAAATAATCGCATAATTGTTGTTGGACTGATTTGTTTGTACAAAATGAAAAATTATTGTGAAGTTTCTGTTACAGCTAGTACAGCTAAGGACAGTGCTTTGCAATAAAATGTCGAGAAATATATGAAAATGATTATAGTGTATTTGAGAGTTATATGGAAAATAACAGTCTGATAATACTCTCTGGTCTGAGTTGCGCTGGTAAAACGGTACTTTTAGGTGATTGGTTTTGCATCTATTATTAAAAGTTATTTAGAATATTTCATAACATAAAACAATATTTCAAAGATGTTATTCGATGTGCCATATACATTTTATTTCTACTAGTAGTACTGGTAGCCAAGAAGCATATGTCTCTAAAAAAGATGATACGTAACAGTGAAACATGAATGATTAATGGCAATTATAAATTCACGAGAACATTCCAAAATTGTAATATTCATATCAATTAAGTAAAATAAGATTTATAACGAGTTATTTTACTTACTTGAGTATTATTCCATTTATTTATTGTATTTGCTTATAACTTCACATTAATAAATCGAAATCATAAAAATGTATTTGTTGTATGGGTATTATAGGGAGTCATAAAGTATTCAAAATGACCGCGCGGGCATAAAGAATCAGAAAGGCTCGCAAGGGTATTAACAATACCTTTATGCGTTTTATATCATGTCGCCTTTTAATGTTAGATTTGCATGCAATGCTAGATTCGCATACAAAACAATTATTAGAGCAATTGCAGAAGTATAAGTGAACACAAATTAGACTACGTTTGTAAAGTTTCAATCTCTTCAAAAATTAGGGGAGAAAAATATGGAAGAGTTAAGAAAATAGGGAAAAGAATCAAATGTTGTCGGAAAAAATGTTGCAACAGAATTTCAGGAACTAATTGGGAATGATCTGAATTTTTACATTTATCATTTGTGCGAATGCAAATGTGCTATGAGCATTTATGTGTTCAGTTAGCATCAGAACCTACAAGTTATTGGTACGGTTATAATTTTGAAATTAAAATGAGACCAGTTCGTATCCCGTATGGAGGTAACACACAATGCCATTTGGGTGTTGGAAAGTTTTGAACGGGACTATAACATTAGATTCATTAGTAAGTCCAATGTCTGATATTGAAAGAACATTTTTGAACAAGGTGAGCATGACATGCATTTTGAACATATGAAACTATTTTAAAAACAGTTAACAGCGTCGGCGACGTCACATTTAAACCATGGAATTTTTTAAAATTTCGAGTTTAATTTAAGATAGGAAGTATCTACAATATTTTAAAAATTTTCTCAAAAATTACTTTTATTTTTTGTTTAAATTTCTTGAAGAATACTCTGATATACATTCATAGACATACATTCATAGAAATACATACTAGGTCTGATTACTACTGTTGACCCTGAATTTTCGAAGAATAAGGAAGTTTTGACATTTTTTGAAGCACCTCTTACAACTACATCAGTGACTTTTGTGTGTAGTGTAGTACTAAATGCACTGAAATCATAACAAACGCTGATTGTATGTATTCTTTGATTTTTCAAAAATGTTATAAATGTATTTTTTTAAACAGCTTCGTGGCTAGGTCAGCGTGCTCGCTTTCTACTATGCGGCCCCGGATTTGATTTCCGATCAGACAAGATTATAGTGTTCGTTTTCCGTGCAATGTCTCAGTATATGTTACTGTGCGACAAAGAAAAAATTCACTTCTCAGGTTGAGAAGACTGGAAAACGGCGTGGAGATGTCTACGGGCAAACCACGGATACTCCCTTAACCCATGCCGCGAGGCAGGGACGTCCCGATAGGCCCGAGCCCGTTCACGGGCTGTAGAGCCACTTGCTCTACATACCTACCTACCTACCTACATACATACATACATACATACATATATATGTACATACATACATAATATTTTTTTAAATATCTCTCGAGGTGAAACAATGCCGCTGGATAAGATGGTAAAAGGTTTTCTAAAACCAAATGGCATACGAGTAGTTAAATTTCGGCAAACAAAAATAATATTTTTGAAAAGTCTCTTAGTTGCCCTACCACCACCACCACCACCACCACCACTACTCCCCCACCCTTCTGCAGCATAAAAAGGATTTAAATTTTGATTTTTTTCGTCCCCTTACCATTATTTTATCTAACTATAAAAGAAAATAATGTATACTATGAAAAACATTTTTAAAATTTTCTCGGCGCCGAACTCAGACGCAAAAAAATTATTTAAAAGAAAAAAATATTTTTGCTGTGTCTTAGAACCCTGAAACGGACATAAAAATCTCCAAATTTCCTCTCATAACTGTAATTGTGACTTTTTCAGTTTTTTGTTGATGACTAATACATTTTGATCTATATTAATAATAACAGTAATAACAGTTATCATAACAAATTACGTCTTCGTAACAGTTACATTTATCAAACAAAATAGGTCAAAATATGTATGGTTTTAAACCTCCTATTATAGAACAAATAAATGAATATTTCTGTATTTGAAAATTGCGACAATTTTGTCGCATGTCATCATTATTTACTTACATAATATTTTAAAAAATGGACCCGAAACTAGTGGTGCTAAAATAGCATGTACTTTCTCGTCTTTAGGAATGGTTAAGCAATTCCATTTAAACCACAATATCTCTCCGAATTAACACATCTCAGTCAATACAAATTGTAGAACATTTGATGCGAATATTAAATATTTTCAAACAAATAACACAAATTTGACAATTATTACTGATTTTCATACAGCTAAATCATGTCACAACAATGAGACGTAATTGACAACAAAGAGACATAATTCACATAAATTCGCAAGTCTCTACGTGGAATAACTTTGTTCCATTCTAATATGATATTCCCTGAATGCTAGCATTTTTTCTTTCACATACGTATTTTAAACAGGCTTTCAATAATTTCTAAAATATTAATTTTTAAACGTATAACCAAAGCTTGAATGTTAAAAATGAACAAATAAATATGAAATAATATACAAATACTAACTTACGTAGCATCAAAGAGCATATAATATCTTCTCACCGTATAACGTTCACGAAACGAATGATATTTGGAGCGTGAAAACATCTTTGACCGGAGCTCACGGCACTCGGGTCGCGGCCGAAAGCGCGGAGCGAGGTCCGCGTACGAGGGCGATGGCAGCCAATATGCAGCAGCAGGAAGCTCGCGGTGAGTCGGTGCCCAACATTTCACCAAATAGGCAAGAATAGGTTTTAAGAATAGTGTGTTGGAACATCAAAGGTCTAGGCTCTAAGCTCGGTAATCAAGACTTCCATGGCTACATTAACACGTTTGATGTAATTGGTCTCGTTGAAAATTGGTGGAAGGAGGGTAAAATGTTAACTGTGTCTGGTTTTACAGCCATATGCAAAAATAAAAAACGCTGGGCGCGAGACGATTGCTCGCCGGAAACGCAAACAATGAACCTATAAGGACGGCTCTACCGCGCAGGGAAGGGTATGCGAAGGTGGGGCAGAGGAGGAAGAGAACTGACCCAAGGGTGGTTTAGCGAGGAGTGTCGGGAGACCAGGCGCGAAACTATAATAGCCTTAA